CTTCCATGCATGAGTTTCCTCCATGGTGTTTGATCCATCCATAGAAGGTAATTAATCCTTTAAGGCAACAAGTTATTGCTCTCTGTGGGATTTATCACACTCATTCTTGATTATGCTATTTTACCTCCTTACAAGGGGACATCTTTTCCTTCAAGGGTTTCCTCCATTGTGTTTGATCCATCCATTGAAGGGATTTATTTCTCTAAGGCAACAAGTTGTGACTCTATATGGGATGCACCACACTTATCCTTGATGATGCTATTTTATCTCCTTGTCAGGGGATAGTTCTTCCTTACAAGGGCTTTTTCCATAGTGTTTGATCCATCGATGGAAGGGGTTAATTCTATAAGGCAATAAGTTTTGGCTCTCCGTGGGATGCATCACATTTGTCCTTGATGAAGTTATTTTACCTCCTTGCAATGGCTACTTCCATGATATTTGATCCATCCATGGCGTACTTCGACGATCGAGTCAGTTGGGGAAGAAAATATATGAGTATGGGAGAGTTTTAGACACGAGCATACAATATAAAAAGTGGGTCAACTTTGTGGAATAACAAATAGAACAATGATATGACAGAGTTATAGTTGGAGAGTCTAAACTTACATTACCTTTCAAATGACACTAAGTGTGAGTTTTATAGTAGAAAATGATGATTAAGAGTCGTTAGCACGTGGCCTCATCCCCACATCTGAGACATCTTGTCATAGTCATCAACCAATCATTCCTCGACCATATTGCATTTAATGTTGTGACTACTTGACAGCTTTAAACCTGACATGTAAGACTAAACTTGTTTGATTGAGTTGAACCGCCACTTAATGAGTTGTTATATCACCCACTTGATACAAGATCTAGTATGAAGATTTCTCTAAAATGTTTCTATCTACCTCACATCATCCATGATGGCTCAACTCTGCATGGGGATTTGGCCAAATTGCCACATGGGCAGAATGATGTGAAGTGCAGACCTAGATTTGCTTGCTGTGTAGTTTTCACTTGACCGTGCTTATAGCTTCGTTGGAAGAGGCGTAATAGAGGTATTCCTAAAAAGAGGAGTAAAAGCTTTTTTTTCATGTTTGATAATTGTTCATCATAGAAGAGAAAGGAGAAATACTTTTGTATCAAACGCCTTTGAACATTAACGTAGAAAAATTAAGTTTATATTTGGCCCTCATTTCCTAAAATTCTTTTTTTTTTCTCAAACTAATTTTCAACTACGCATTTTAAGGGACGCAAATTTTATCAATTTTTCACCACACATTTCATCAAATTTTATTAAAATCTACTAAAAATCTTATTTTTATTCAAACCAAATTTGTATTCTTTTTTTTTTTTTGATAAAAGACATCCCATAAAAGGCGCAAAAAATGCGGTTACAAGGAGAAGGACCTCCAAACACAGACTCTCGAAAGAGAGAAAAAGTGTCACCACGGCCAAAGGAATGACTACTAAAAACAAACATGAACTAAAACAAATACACGACCCAACACAGACGACCCAAACGAAGTCATAANGCGGGCAGTGTCTTGACTTCACAACAATCGAACAAACACACAGACAAAACAAAACAACCTACACACACCACCAAACATCAACCAACATACACCGACACACCACCACCACCACCCTACGGCAACACTGGAAGACTAGCCAAAAACTGCCCGCCGGTGAAGCTCCAACTGCAGCAACATCCCCGTCGGCCCCGTCCACAGGAAACCCCAAACGACCGAGGCCACCCACAAATTTCCGACCAAACCTCTCTCGTCTCTCAACACCGACCGAAGCCCACACGAATCTCCACCTCCGAAGCTCAGCTGACCACACCACCTCCCCGCCCAAAACCCGCCAGCAAATCGGCGAATCCACAGCCAACAAGAAGATAAACACAAAAGAAAACGAAAAAACAGGAATAAAAGAAAAGAAAAAAAGGGGGAGCCTAAGCTCCCACCCCCCACCACAAACCCGCAAGTGAAACCAAGAAAATACCCACCCGAAAACCCAAGAAACAACCCCCATCGGAGGGAGGCCGGAAAGACTTCACAGAGGAAGAGAGAGAACCCTTACTCACAGGAAGGGACTGCAATATGTAGATTAGTAACCAAATTTGTATTCTTTAGAACAACTATATCCCGGAATTACTGTAGAATTTATTCAAAAAGGAAAAATTGAGTAGCGATATCAAATTTTACATTCGGTTTTATGATTGATAAGCATAAAACCCCTTATCTCCACCAAATTGTCATTCATCCAAATTTTGAGAAAAATCAACTTGTCTAAAAAAAATAAAATAATAAAAAATAGATTTTTATGGAAATGAGCGGGCACTTTTTTACTCAACATGTACATTTTCAATTTGATGAAATAGTTGACACATATAGCTTTATGTTAGTGGATCACACGTATTAAAATAGCGTTGTACAAGTAGTAAAGTTTGTGCCTCCTAATTATTAAGTCCATTTCACCTTTATAAAAATTATAATTTATTTTTC